TAATAAATGTGTATATTATTATTACATGGTTCCCATTTAATAAATGTGCATATTATTATTATTACATGGAGCCATTTAATAAATGTGTATATTATTATTACATGGAGCACATTTAATAAATGTGTATAATTATTATTACATGGAGCACATTTAATAAATGTGTATAATATTATTATTACATGGTTGCCATTTAATAAATGTGTATATTATTATTACAGTATTCCCATTTAATAAATGTGTATATTATTATTACATGGTTCCCATTTAATAAATGTGTATATTATTATTATTATTATATGGAGACCATTTAATAAATGTGTATATTATTATTACCTGGAGCACATTTAATAAATGTGTATATTATTATTACATGGAGCACATTTAATAAATGTGTATAATATTATTATTACATGGTTGCCATTTAATAAATGTGTATATTATTATTACAGGAGCCCATTTAATAATGTGTATATTATTATTATATGGAGCCCATTTAATAAATGTGTATATTATTATTACATGGTTCCCATTTAATAAATGTGTATATTATTATTACATGATTCCCATTTAATAAATGTGTATATTATTATTATTACATGGAGCCCATTTAATAAATGTGTATATTATTATTACAGTATTCCCATTTAATAAATGTGTATATTATTATTACATGGAGCCCATTTAATAAATGTGTATAATATTATTATTACATGGTTCCCATTTAATAAATGTGTATATTATTATTACATGGTTCCCATTTAATAAATGTGTATATTATTATTACATGATTCCCATTTAATAAATGTGTATATTATTATTATTACATGGAGCCCATTTAATAAATGTGTATATTATTATTACAGTATTCCCATTTAATAAATGTGTATATTATTATTACATGGAGCCCATTTAATAAATGTGTATAATATTATTATTACATGGTTCCCATTTAATAAATGTGTATATTATTATTACATGGTTCCCATTTAATAAATGTGTATATTATTATTACATGATTCCCATTTAATAAATGTGTATATTATTATTATTACATGGAGCCCATTTAATAAATGTGTATATTATTATTACAGTATTCCCATTTAATAAATGTGTATATTATTATTATTATTATTATTATTATTACTACATGGAGCCCATTTAATAAATGTGTATATTATTATTACATGGAGCACATTTAATAAATGTGTATATTATTATTACATGGTTCCCATTTAATAAATGTGTATATTATTATTACGTGGAGCCCATTTAATACATGTGTAGATTATTATTATTATATGGAGCCCATTTAATAAATGTGTATATTATTATTACATGGTTCCCATTTAATAAATGTGTATATTATTATTACATGGAGCCCATTTAATAAATGTGTATATTATTATTACATGGAGCACATTTAATAAATGTGTATATTATTATTACATGGAGCACATTTAATAAATGTGTATAATATTATTATTACATGGTTGCCATTTAATAAATGTGTATATTATTATTACATGGTTCCCATTTAATAAATGTGTATTATTATTATTACATGGTTCCCATTTAATAAATGTGTAGATTATTATTATTATATGGAGCCCATTTAATACATGTGTATATTATTATTACATGGTTCCCATTTAATAAATGTGTATATTATTCTTATTATTACATGGACCCCATTTAATAAATGTGTATATTATTATTACATGGAGCACATTTAATAAATGTGTATAATATTATTATTACATGGTTCCCATTTAATAAATGTGTATATTATTATTACAGTATTCCCATTTAATAAATGTGTATATTATTATTACATGGTTGCCATTTAATAAATGTGTATAATATTATTATTACATGGTTCCCATTTAATAAATGTGTATAATATTATTACATGGTTCCCATTTAATAAATGTGTATATTATTATTACATGGTTGCCATTTAATAAATGTATATATTATTATTCCATGGTTCCCATTTAATAAATGTGTATAATATTATTATTACATGGAGCCAATTTAATAAATGTGTATAATATTATTATTACATGGTTCCCATTTAATAAATGTGTATATTATTATTACAGTATTCCCATTTAATAAATGTGTAGATTATTATTACATGGTTGCCATTTAATAAATGTGTATAATATTATAATTACATGGTTCCCATTGAATAAATGTGTATAATATTATTATTACATGGTTCCCATTTAATAAATGTGCATAATATTATTATTACATGGTTGCCATTTAATAAATGTGTATAATATTATTATTACATGGTTGCCATTTAATAAATGTGTATATTATTATTACATGAAGCCCATTTAATAAATGTGTATATTATTATTATTACATGGTTCCCATTTAATAAATGTGTATATTATTATTATTACATGGTTCCCATTTAATAAACGTGTATAATATTATTATTACATGGTTCACATTTAATAAATGTGTATATTATTATTATTACATGGAGCCCATTTAATAAATGTGTATATTATTATTACATGGAGCACATTTAATACATGTGTAGATTATTATTATTATATGGAGCCCATTTAATAAATGTGTATATATTATTATTACATGGTTCCCATTTAATAAATGTGTATATTATTATTATTATTACATGGAGCCCATTTAATAAATGTGTATATTATTATTACATGGTTGCCATTTAATAAATGTGTATATTATTATTACATGGAGCACATTTAATAAATGTGTATAATATTATTATTACATGGTTGCCATTTAATAAATGTGTATAATATTATTATTACATGGTTGCCATTTAATAAATGTGTATATTATTATTATTACATGTAGCACATTTAATAAATGTGTATAATATTATTATTACATGGTTGCCATTTAATAAATGTGTATATTATTATTACAGTATTCCCATTTAATAAATGTGTATATTATTATTACATGGTTCCCATTTAATAAATGTGCATATTATTATTATTATTATATGGAGACCATTTAATAAATGTGTATATTATTATTACCTGGAGCACATTTAATAAATGTGTATATTATTATTACATGGAGCACATTTAATTAATGTGTATAATATTATTATTACATGGTTGCCATTTAATAAATGTGTATATTATTATTACAGTATTCCCATTTAATAAATATGTATATTATTATTACATGGTTCCCATTTAATAAATGTGTATATTATTATTATTATTATTATATGGAGACCATTTAATAAATGTGTATATTATTATTACATGGAGCACATTTAATAAATGTGTATATTATTATTACATGGAGCACATTTAATAAATGTGTATAATATTATTATTACATGGTTGCCATTTAATAAATGTATATATTATTATTACATGGAGCCCATTTAATACATGTGTAGATTATTATTATTATATGGAGCCCATTTAATAAATGTGTATATTATTATTACATGGTTCCCATTTAATAAATGTGTATATTATTATTACATGGTTCCCATTTAATAAATGTGTATATTATTATTATTATTATTACATGGAGCCCATTTAATAAATGTGTATATTATTATTACATGGAGCACATTTAATAAATGTGTATATTATTATTATTATTACATGGTTGCCAT